TGAAATAGAAGCCTTATAGCTGGGTGAATTTTTGCAATTATAATGCCATAACTGTGCTAGGATGAACTCCAAATCTAAAATGGCCAAAAGAGGACTGTCAGGCTCTCTGAATGTGCAGAGGGAAGTGGTGAAAATTCAGAACCCTCTTTCTACAACTAAATCTTGCATTCATACATAAATGCAAATCCTGTTCATACATGTCACTTTATTTAAATTTGACTGTTGGAAAAAAATATGACACCCAGATCACTCAATAGGACATTATTTAGCATTTAAAATCTTTGATTAGTGTCTTCTTTCAGCACAGAATCTTGGAGGATCTTGCTGGAAGTCTCCTTRTGCTATAAAGCCTTGCTAGTATTGATGTGATTTGAAAATTCTCAAGCCATTTAATGTAAACATTCATACTGTGCAATTATCATCAAGWAGTTTTGTGACTATTGCAGTTGTTCATGTACTGTAAAATAACTGCAAATAGCAGTTGGTTATCCAGACTTAAAACTTCAGTTACAAAATCAGATCTAGCTATTTGTTATAAAACCAGACTGATTCCCATAGATTACATTTTTCTGGCTGTCTAGTTTATGCCAGGTTGTGTTTGATTTGCAGATATACCATGAGAAGTATCATACACGAATTACCTGTTGGTTGAAGCACAGAAAAAAAAGGAAGTTTGGCTTCTAAATACCTTTTTTTGGGTTCTTCTTTCCAATTTGTTCTTGTTTCCAAGTTTCTGCCTCCTCCTTAGCCTGCTAATTTTTCTCTTTGTTAGAATTTGAATCCAAACCTATTGAGCAGCTTCTGTTGAACAAGGTACTTTTTAGACTAGACTTTATCTGGCTAGACTTTCGGTCTCTACAGGTGAAATCTCATTACCCCCTCCAGCCAAGCAAAACAAACCCACACCAAAGCCAGGTAACTAGGATAAAACRGCAGGCAGGGGTTTTTGCTTATATGTTAGACCTAGATTTTAAAATATTTTAGGTAGCTGCAAACTATTGTTTAACATCTGAATGATTTGATACTCATACTTCTCTAGTGCACTGTRGTACTTCAAAGTGCTGTCAGCTTGAAGTGTTGGGAGCTTAGYGATTCACATCTCTTTAAGTGTGGAGTTATTATAGCTCGATGCAACCAGTTGGGAAATACTTTCAGATCCTTGCTATATGTGAGTRGTATGCATTCCAATATGCTTTTCATTCTGGTAAGGCATCAAAGGTGTAATTTTATTGCTAAGTTAACCTTGAAGCAAGCAGTGCTTAAGTCCTTTAATACTTGCATTATTGTGAAAGCGGAATGAGCAATGAATTAAAATTTAGGCAATTTYTGGGAGAAGTTAGCTGAGAGAAAGGTAACTGGTATTGGGATGCCACAACCCAAAAGTTGTAAAAGCTTTGTATAGGAGATTAATTTTAGCTTGTGAAACCAGAGAAGTRGCTGCAGTGGAGGAGCTGGATTGTGAAGAGCATAGACAAGCTTAACAGCTGAATGAGGCTACTACTAATTCTGTGTGTATATGTATGTCCATAAATATAAATCACAGCAGAGAATATGCAATAAGTGGAGATARGCTCAAATAGAATATTGAAAAAACCTCTTGTAGAAACTGCTGGATCAGGGGCAGTTAAGAACGTTAGCCATTTCTTCCTGTTTAGCCAATAAGAAAAGCAAGGAATATCATATTTGTGGCTGTGACAGCTGTTGCTGCCATTCCACGAGTCTGTTTCCAGAGAAAGCTGGAAGTGATAYGTGAAATACAATCTTTAACATAAACTTCTGTGTACTTCAGAAGGACTTGAGTGATCTTAACACATGAAATGTTGATAAAGATGTTAGGTTGTGAGATGATAGTTGCAAAAAGGGGAAATTTTTAATACACCTGCTAATGTCCTCTTGTAGGTGGTTCTGAAGCTTGCTTTGTCTAGCAATTTGATTTGTGACCAAAACCGTACCCAAAAACTGCAAGTAGCAGATGCTTTTTGCAACACAGCTTTTGAATTATTGGCAGTCAGGCTGTATGAAATAAGTATTCTTGGATACCTCAAGCCATGCCTTCAGTACTATTAGGGTCTGAAATTCTGCAGTGCATGCATGTTCTAACATAGTAAGRATGCAGGTTTTCCTTTGGAAGGAAAATGCTTTTGAGTGTGTTTTATGTAAGACTGTGTTCTGCTTGAAACTGGGGATGTGGACTTCATCTGTCTTTGGATAACATTCTCACTCAGGGTTTTCCATCCAAAATACCTTTGTTACTTAGATTTGTATTGTCTTAAGGTCTATCTTCACGTAATGATTTTGAGCACATGCTGGACCTAAGAGGTGYTTTGGTCCCACCCCCAGTAGGGCAAGGAGAGCAGGTTGCTCACATCCAGCTGTGAATACCTTCAAGATCAGCCTGCTTCAATATTTACCTATGCTGATTGCTTCTCCTACCATTTAACGGGAATATTTCTTCCTGTTCTGTCATCTGTTGTMATGCTATTATGCAGGTCTAGGAAGCATCCCATTTAATTCTTTGTATGCCCCYACTAGATAGCAGAGGTAGCAGTGARATAGACCTTCAAACACCTTTACTTGAAGCTGAAAAAACTCATCTTCATTGTGCACTGTGTGCTCGGAGCTGTTGTAGTGGTCCTCTTTGGGATTTGCTCCAGTAAGTCAATGGTGTTTTTGTACTGGGCRGCCCAAAATGGCACTGTTGCAGTTTAAGTCATGGTGGAATAAGGGACCAATTCCATGGGCAGTGGCTGTATTCCAGATAATGAAGCCTGATATTTAGTTGCATTTTTGAGTTATGGATGRACACTGGTAACTACATATTCTGTTGGTCTACTGGGAGATGAGGTTACTTTTTTCAAAGTTGTATTTTGTCTGGTCAACCCTCAGCCTGCACCATTGCATGGTGTCACTTGGTTCCAGGTGCAGGGCTTCGGTCTCTGTTGAACTTGAGAACTGTTTCAAGGGGTTTGAGAAATAGTCTCTTCCTAAATCCAACCATCTAGTGTGTCAGACCTCTGCTCTCTATTTCTCTCCAGTTTCATCTATGGATTTACAGAGGATATCTGTTTCATTGTCTAGTTGATTAATGAAGGGGTAAAACAAGTGTACAGTATTGATTTTCAAATAATGCCAATATTTAGAAATTGCATTGTTCACAACAGTTTGTAGTTCTTCCCTAAGAAACTACTTCCTTCTACATGCTTTTGTAAAAGCACACTATGTTTTGAGATGCATAAAAGATGGACTTCATCAGTAACTTCTCATAATTTGAGTTTTCAGTGCACACAATCACRGTTTAAGCTTTAATATTTGATTTTTAACAGAATGATCATTGTAATTAATCTTAAACTAKCTAATGCACTTTCTGGAAGAAGCCTTAATTTCAAAATAGTATATTGAGTGTAACTGTTTCTAATTTACCATAATGAAAAGCTTCCTCAKTGGACTCAAACGTAGTTGACTCTTCTGGCAGTAATGACTATTAGTACTTGTCATTCTTTATTTAAAAAAAATATTTTGTGTTGAATCCTGGTTGTTTAGCTTTGTTCCTCGGTCAGCACTGTATATGTACATAGAATATGTTGTATTTTTAAAATGATGGCAGGTATCTATTGGAGGCTTGCTAGCATGTGTACTTTTGTTCCACATGGTCAAGATACATCTGTAATATTCACACTGATTGTTCTGGACAGCAAATGGCTATCTTAATTTAGGTTATTCATTATAATTTATTCTAAATTGAGTCATATGRAGGAATAAATTGAAAAATGTTGTGTCAGCCTATTAAACAACATTTGTTCAGTAACAATAGCTAAAATTTCATTTTCTGCTCCTGTGACACATTGCATAGAARCATTTTCACAAGGTCAACCTATTCTAAAATATTTATCATCGTCTATTTAATCCAATTATTATAAAGAGCCATCTGAAAGTCTTTTAGTTGTTTGTTAATTCAAGTAACCAGCTGGTGAGCTGCAGATGGTATTCACAATATTAAGTGCAATTATGAAGCATCTTCACTTTATGGCATTTCTTACTTAGATGGCTGCTGAAAGTGAACTATAGAACTACCAAGTAGTTTATCACTCACAACTTTAGAAGGGAGGAAGTCTGTACTTCACTTTCACCTGGGGAGTATTTCCAAACCTAGGGTCCAAATTGAGGGACAAACTGAAAGGTAGTTTCTGGATTGCTTACTTTCTCTAGTGTTCARCATGTTTACACACCAATTCCTGCTCTGAAATGGGCTTTAGGGTGGGGTTTGAAGCATAGTAAACATAGTATTTAAAAAAAAAAACAAAACAAAAGAAAAACAAACAAACAAACAAAAAAAACCACCCCACCAGGAAATGACATTTTACCTTAGCATGAGCTCAGTGGGCCCTTCCTTGTATTTGAGAGATTCATGAGCTGGCTGGCATGTCCTGCTGGCCACATGAGCCCTTGAATGCCACAGGTTYAGTGTCCTGTACAAACAAGCTTTAATGCTCCTTGTCTGTGTGTTGAAAATTCCTTGGCAATTTGATTCTTAGTTTTAAAATCTATAATTTCAATTTTAAAAGCAATGTAGAAATGAAGAAAAATGCAGCCACATCAGAAAATACTACTTAAATATTCATTTTTTAAACAAAGCTTATGCAATCTTGGTAAAGACAGGTTTTTGGTTTTTTTTTGGAGTCCTAAAATGTGAGTTTTAATCCAGAATCTCTGTATGGCTGTGTTTAATATGAAAGAGTTCTCTTTTGGACATATTCTAGTAAATAATTGTCATATCTGCAGGAAAAATTCAGTAGTAATGGGGCTACCTGTGTAACACCAAGTTACTCAGTCACTCTCCTATAACAAGTGTCTTTACAGGAGAGTAAATTAGGTTTAATAGAGTGCAATCATTCTGCAGAGCTACATATTTCCCATAACTGCTACAATATCATCCTACCATATGGTATTTAAATTTTTTGTTGTTGTTCTGTGTTAATCAGTACTKTTTCTTTTCAATTTAGATCAGTGTATTGTCACTCGGACATACCTCTTYCTTCATAAATTTTGGTTCTTCAGTGCTGCCTATTACTTTGGGAACTGGGCATTCATTGCAGTAAGTATTTTGATTTTGGAGACCACTGAATCAAACTGGATCATTTGCAGTAGTTGTCATTGCATCATTTGCATCACCACACTGCAATTTGTTTTTGCAATGTATTGCCCTTATATGCCCCTGGACTGAATAACATTGACACTTTCTACTTTAAATTTGCAGGTCTTTTTAATTGGATTAATTGTTTCATGCTGCAAGGGCAAGAAATCAGTCATTGAAGGTGAAGTAGATGACGATGATTCAGATATGAGTGATGATGAACTGTCTGTTTATTACCATTGATAGCCTTTTGCTTTCAAATCAAAAAAATGTAATTTAAAGTTATGTTGGGAGTCATGCACACATGGAACTTGTATCCAAGAAAGCATCTTTGCACCTGTAAAAATAGAAATAAGTGTACTCACTTAAAGGGATAAAAAACCTGAATATCACTTTCAGTATCACTGTTAAATGAGAACAAGTGTTGAAGCTGAGTTTTAATAATATGTAGAAAGTATTGGTTTATGATTAAACAAATATGTAACTTTCTGATGTATAATTTGATGAACTGTTGTAACTATTTCATAATTCACAATGCTTTTCTGTTAACTTAGGTTTTCGTAAATACTTTCATGCCTAACTTCTAGGACTTTTTTATTCATAAATACAACTTGCTAAAATCCTGCAAAATGGTGCAAATATTGCAGGAAAGATTTGGGATGAAGTTTACACTTTCAGAAGGGCTTAACTTTTGCACTGGTTTTGCTGGGATTTTCCCATAAAACTATAGCTAACAAGAAACTGCCCATTAAAGGATGCCAAAAACATTATTTAAATGGTGAATTTTCAATCTGTGAAAAATAAGTAATTTTCATAGTGTTTTCCCCACTGAGTTACCATGGGAATCATCAGGTAACTATGAGGTGGCTTTTGTGCTCTCAATGGAAATCATTAGTGTAAATGACAATATTTAGCACTCTTGCAGTGTTTTAGTACAGTTTAGCTCTGAAACTGACAGGTGCCTGATTTAGTTGTAACCAATGGAATAATTAAGATATGATCAATTTTTAACTTATTTTTCTCTTTAATGCACATTGTCTAGTTTGAAGTTTYCTTTCAATATTTAATGTAAATGTTGTCAATTTGTTTACAAACCAATATGTTTATATAAACACAGTTAAAAAATATTTTTGTCATTCGTGTTGTCTTTGTAMATTAATCCTATTTTAGCTATATAGTTACTGAGCTATATTTCTAAGGATGTAAAAAATCTTCGTATATCCTTTGACAGACTCTGAAAGAGAAAATGTTTACAAGGACAGGTTTTCAAGCTTCTAGTGCTACCTGAGGGACATTATAGTCTATGCAAGCTCATGGAAATGTAGTTAGGTAGTCTTTTTATAGGACTGATTGTTAAATAGCTATTAGAATGTAGGGGAATTATTAATATGTCCTGCTTACATGCTTGCAAACTGAAGTCATTGCAAGAACAGCCTGCCTCTATCTGTAGTATTTCAGAAYAGCAGGCTCTCAAGAACTTCTGAATTTTAATTTATTTTCAGTATTGGGCAAGTCTTAGGTGAGTAGTGCAGTTAATGCAAGAACACAGGGAACTGATATTTAGACTACAGGAACAAAAAAACCTGAGCAGTGCCAGCTGCTCCAGTAATATCAATGTTGATGTGACAACATCAAGTAATCACACACAGAATAAGCAGAGTTGGAAGGGACCCACAAGGATCATCGAGTCTGTCTCCTGGTGTTATAGGTTGATCATAARCTGAAAATATGCTGTCAGATCTGCTCAACTATTATCAATCAATCTGTCTGCTACCAGTGTGACACTTGAAAGGACAGAAATGTATTCCAGCACTGATAGTAGGTACTGAAATGTGACTCGGCAGTCTGAACTCTTTGACTAGAATTAGCGGAGTATTATTTAAACATGACARTTGGGGAAACTTGCAAGGAATTAGTTATAAGAAGTTCAAGTAATTCAAACAGGAGGTGGAATGTGATGTTGACTGTCTGGAAGCTGCATCCAGASGATGGCAAGTACTTGGAGTATACTTACTTGTAGATGCCCTGGTGAAAAATTTACATGAGCTGATTCAATAAAGTTAACTGCACAGATGTCCTCCTTTCTTTGTGGGTTTTTTTTGTTTTTCATCTTCAGTTTTTACCAGTGAAAATTGCCACTTCCTTCTTTGGCTCTATCTTATACAGGTTTGTTTGTAGCACAGTTTTCGAGTTACATCCATTCTGTCTTAACTTTGCGCTGGGGAGATCACTGCTCATCTGGGGAAGATTGTCAGGAAAGTGTTGATTTAGTGCCATGTAGATGCTTCATGCTGTGTGCAGGCCTAGGGGATCTCTGGCCAAATGCCTGGCCAGTGCCTAGGTGTTCTGTTGCTAGAGGTTTCTCCTGTTTCTAGCATTTCCCAAATYTGCAGTTTCTTCCCTATCTAGTCCTGTTTCCTGTTTAAACAGTCTGTATGCAGAAATGCAACCAGAAATGCACCTTGGAATTGGTGACTTCGTCTCTTTACTTGGAGGACTCAGTAAGTACGACTTTTTTTTTAATCCGGGTATTAATCAGATTTARAAGCAGCCCATTGTTAATTGCAGCTATCAAGGAGCAGACTTTTATAGGAGAGTTCAAAAGTTATTTCAGACATCTGCTGTCACCCTCTGTCATAGAAGCAGTAAATAACTGCCAGCATTCATAATTGGAATTATTCGTCACCTGCCACATCCTCACTAAAATTTTTCAGGAGTTCAATGAACCATTTGACTGACAAGCTTTTAAAAGATTTTCTACTCACTAATGTAATTGTAATGAATATACACTCAAGAATTCATCTCTAAACACTTAAAGTGATGGAAACTTGACATTTTTAGCTGTACTGTGCCTTTAAAACGAACTAGAAGTGTTTTTCAAGTTTACTGTGTGAACTCTGACTGTTTTTCTGCATCCATTATCACTCAATCAAGAAACCTAGCAGTGAAATCTAAGACAACCCTGACTTAAAATACTTGGCTTTGATCAGTCCTTGCAGAAACTTTTAGGAAATAGAACCTCCAGTATATCTTTTCTAGTTGCCTCTTGTGTTGTCTTAAATACATGCAAATAAAACAATAAATTACTTTTCACAAAGTTATAGTGCTGCTGTAGCAGTGCTTCTCACTGATTTAGCTGTTAGATATGAAATGATAGTCCTGTTTTCTGTAGGCTTGGGAGCAAATTTGAACTTTGCAGTCACGTTACAATARTGTTCTACCTTGCAAACAAACATCTGACATCTTCAATTGAGTCTTCAGAGATCTGTTTTCTGCACTAAAGTCACTTAAAGGCATCAGAGTTGTTTTACTGCTTTGTTTAATGAGTGATATTTCAAATCCAGCTCTGAAGTGGGASCTCACAGAATTTGTGTAGTACTGTTACCAGACCTGGCTTAAGTTACATTTGTTGTTGCACTTTTCCATGCAGCATTTCCAGCTTCTACCATGTTGGAAGCTCATGAGCATTGAGAAACTAGAGAGCCTGAAATCTTGCTGACATGTCAAACAAGCTGTGAACGAATGTTTGATAGAGTTCAGCAAAGTGTGCCAAATGGGTCCTTATTTTGCTGCTTGTACTRTAGTGATTGGTAGTTTATCCAGAGTTACAGGTCATAAGCACAATAAAGCCTGTAATTGTCTGCCTATTCCTTAGCTGAAGCTGAGAGCTTGCTGCAGATTGCCTGCTGATTGTCAGAAACATGTGAAAAGCTTTTCCTGGTAGAGATGAAAAGAAATATCTGCTAACTTTTTGTATTTTCTGCTTTAATTTCAGGAAAATGATTGCAGGGTAGGCTTGAGATTTTGCACTGAAAATTTTAATCTACTTCAGGGTAGAGTGTACCTGTACCAGAGCCTTGCTGCATAGGATGGTAATTGCATTCTCAGAAAATGTGACTATTTAAGCTGAAAGCTAATGAAGCTTTTCAATGCTTATGATTTGCCTCTGAATAATCAGTGTAGACAGAACTCTGCAGTTTCTTTGAGATGTCTTCTGCTGCTTAGAAACTGTAATTCTTGGGTTTTCAGCTGCTACTTGGTTTTGTCAACACAAGTTTGAGTTGGACCGTGGCATACAACAGGGTTTTGAAAACCATTACCCCCTTGTAGAAACTATTWTTTGGTTTATACTAAAATAATGGTAACTGTTGATAGCAGAGGTGCAGTTGAAGTGTTTAAGATAACTGATGAACTCTAGAAGGTAACTTTTTTCCAGGAAGTAAGCAGATACTCAGCTCCTTATGACAGCACTGATCTGGTTCTGGGTAGGGGTAGGGAAATAAAACACTGCTCCTGAGATAAAGCAAAGGAAAAAGATGAATCCCTTTCCAAAATTATCAAATTAATTTGAAATACTCAGGCTGTAACATTTTTCAGCCTCCAAAGTTAAAGATTATAGTTCATATTGAAAATACTTCTTACCTTAGTGTAGATCGGTTTTCTTGTAACCTTCTGCAAGGTCATTTTTCTTGCAGATAAAGCAAAGAAATGAAACCGAGAATCACTATCTCTTCTGCAAATGTGTATTTTGACTGTACTTCTCAAAAGAAACAAAAGCCTTGTTTTGATTGTGGTAAGAAATGATTTTCTGTTAATACTCTGAACCAAATTCTGCTTCTAAATTAAGACACTTGCCAATTCTGGATAATTAAATGAATCAGAAATTCTGGTGTTCTTCATCAGCTTTACTGAGATGTGGTTGTTACAGAAATTATCTGGAAGTTGGGCTATTTTTAACTTCCTCCTATTCAGAGAGATTGCATGAGTGATAGCACTTCAGTCAAATTTATAGCTATAAAGAGGGTTATTTCTTTTAAATAAACAGACAGTTTAAGCACATTTAAGGACCCCTATTTATAGCTTTGTTCTAGATTTACCTCTAGAAGTGTGATGTATGTAGGGAGTCAGACAGAAAAATTTTGGTTTATGGAGGGCTGGTAATAAAGGTAAGCTACAGATGTGATAAGTGTTGTGCTCCTCCTTCCTGTGTTAATGTTGAGTCCTTATTTTGTGTGTTGCAAATAAATACCTCTGCTTCTGCCTAAATATTAATCATGATGTTTCCAGATGTGGKAGGTGTATTTTTTCAACCAAGTGCTTCAGAGTCAGGACAGCAAGGATGTGGTGTAAATGTCTGTGATACTTCTCACACACATAAACYGCTTCCCAAATTACAGCCTGTGGACTTACTACTCTATTAAGCTTTTGGAAGAGTGCCCTTGGGACTAAAATATTTGATTCTGACACTTAGTATATAATTTAAAGGTGTCATTTACTTCCTAAGTTTAGAATTATACARTTATTTAGAAAACTTGGAGAAGACTTCTAATATTATCAGGTCCAACAGTAAATCTAACTCTGTCAAGTCTACCCATAAACCATGTCCCTAAGCACCACAYCTACATGTTTTTGAATTCTCTGAGTTGTTCCTCTTCTCTAAACTTAAGTTACAAAAGAGCAAATCTACATCCTTATATTCTGCTGACTTTGCATTCTTTCCAAATAAAAATTATAAGATGCTSTTGACATAGTGTATCTGATTTGCATGGAATGTTCTTTTGGAATGGGCTACTTRAGAAAACTTCAGTTTATTGTAAAGAAAAGTGTTTTGTTGTATTWTGAGGTGCAAAGTCCTGATCATAGAACAGCTTCTTATTTGAACTTAAAAGTCAATTTCTTAACAGTGGGCATATCTTTCTAGTGCATGGAGAAAAAAAATAAATTGTCATTGGAAAATAGGAACTCCAGAGGACTCCTCATTTTCCCAGCTATGAAGCAGGTACTTTATTTTTTTCAGAAATAGGTATCAAAGAAATATTTTTATTAATTTTCTTGACTAGAAAGATAATACYTTTTAAGTTGTATAGAGACTGATATCAGGATTATTGTAGGGTTTGATTTTTAAAACTGTTCAGTGTAGCTCCTACTGAAAAACCTCAAGGATTTCAGATCTTAGAGGATTTGGAATATGCTGCTTTGTGCTTGAAGTACTTAGGGAAAATRTTAACATGAACTGTTTTCCTTTCAGTTCATGAAGGAATTAAATATTTTAAAAACATGCTTTTAATGAACGGAGTTGAAAATGCCAGCAGTTTTAGGTATTTGAAAATGCATTCCTGGAAAGTTAATACTTGACTAATGCAATCATTGTAGAGCAGGTTTCAGGCTTACCTGGTTGTGTCCCTGATTCTGAAAAGGAGCAGAAGGGTACTGTCAAAATTGATTGTATATCAATTGACTGCAATCTTTCCTGAACTAGCTTTGAGGATAATGTTAAAAGACTTATTTATAGTGGGGTTTTTCTGTGGAGACTGTTTTTGTTYTGTAAATCTTAGTCCTGCGCTGTTCAAAGTTTGTGCAAATGGTACTGGACAATGTTCTGTAAGAGGCTGACAGCTCTAGGAAGYAATTGTTCATAGAAAAGACAAAGGTTGAGAGAAAAGACTCTTTTACATGTGCTGGATCCATGGAAGAACTTAGAGCTTTCACCATGGAGCTCCACACTTGAGACAATGTGTTATCCAACAGCTCAATGCTGCTTCTCTATGGGTGATTTTGCATTGTGGGGGATGTAATGCTGGGGAGTGGTGCGAGCAAAGCTGAGTCCTGAAAGAGGAGCTTGCTGTTTGCAGGTGTGCACAATCTAAACCGGGTCTGTAGGTTTCTAAGTTTTGATCTATAAAGAGGCTTTCATTGCTGACAGAGAATCAGMTTTCTTTACTCCATCAGTGGACAACTGATGTRGTTGAAGTTGTCCCTGTTSATTGCAAAGGAGGTTTGACTAGATGACCTTTAGGTTCCCTTCTAACCCAAATCATTCTATGATTCTCTTCATGAAAACATAGAATCATATTCTSAATGTGTTAGATCTCAAGAATTATGTCACTATTTTCTAATGTGGCAAAGAGGAACATTTGGTGGAAGCTGAGTGTGTGCTGATCCTGGATGATTAGACCTTCCACTTTAGTTCTTTTCCATTCATAGTAAAGGTAGATTAAAACAGGTGGGTAGAATTTAGTCTGAGCAAGTCCTATCTGAAAAATGAGCCATTTAATTTGAACAGACTT